TGTTGAGGGGTGCCCCCCCGGTGGGGAGACGCCCCGGGGGGGGGGGGGGGGGCTCAGTTCACACCCTCCACAGGAACAAGTCGCATTCCCTGCAGAGCATGCACCTCAGAAGGCCATGCCCTTTCCTGCCTGGAGGGAGCACTTCCCGGATGAAGGCACCAGGAATGGCAGCTGGGAGCGGAGTCTATCCCCCACATCTGGGCTGTTGTTACAGACTCTCCTTCCTGGCTGCCTGAGCCTCACAGCTGCTATCACAAACACAGGCAGAGGGCCATCACTCTCCACCGAGGAGTCCAGAGGGGGAGCCTAGGTCAGGACCCTGCAGCTCCCCTCCAAACGGGGCACACAGTGCGAGTCCCCAGGGAGGTCTCCCGAGCATGCTGTCACCTCTGTGAGCTCCAGGGAGGGCTCCCGAGTGCGCTGTCACCTGTGAGCTCCAGGGAGGGCTCCCGAGCACGTGGTCACCGCTGTGAGCTCCAGGGAGGGCTCCTGAGCGACAGTCACCTCTGTGAGCTCCAGGGAGGGCTCCTGAGCGCGCCGTCACCTCTGTGAGCTCCAGGGAGGGCTCCCGAGCACGCGGACACCGCTGTGAGCTCCAGGGAGGGCTCCCGAGCGCATGGTCACTGCTGTAAGCTCCAGGGAGGGCTCCCGAGCGCACTGTCACCTGTGAGCTCGAGTGTGCTGTCACCGCTGGTGTGTTACCCAGCCAGGGACGGCTGACCTGGGGATGACCTTGGCTGTGGTATCTGTCTCCTGATCTGCCCCCGACCAGGCCACGAGGACATGGTGCTTCCTCAGTGCCATGATTGGCAACAAGCCCAGAAAGATCAGGGTTCTGGACCACAGACATTCCCCGAGGCCCACATGCCAGGAGACCTGATCTGGGCATGGGAGAGGCTGGCACCCTGCATCTCACGGGGTTCGTGGGCTCATGGGTCTTAGTGGACAGCGGCCTCGGGTCCCACCTCCTCCCACCCCGGCTGGCCACCTACACACTTCCTGGGTCCTGTGCAGGAGGTCCACAGAAGGCCCTGCAAGAGGGCCCCAGCTAGAAAGCAACCTCAGAACCATGATAACATAAAAGAGCAAACAATTTAGCCCAAAGCACAGACCGGATAGAGCCAGACCTCTCCAACTGCAGTTACTGTCCATGGGTTCACGGGTCCTCACACAATCGCGGCTGGTGCTCCACACGAGTGTGTGGTGGGGACAGGGGCCCTGCTGCCTCCTCTGACCGACCAAGGCCTTGCCAAGTAGGCACTCTGAGTTGGCGAGGGTGCCGTGAGCACTGGCAGGGAGGGAGACAGAGCTGCTGACTCCGTAGCAGTCTCCGGCTCTTGGGATGGGGAGACGTACATGAAGCAGCAGGCTGGAGGGACCCGGCACATATTTGGCCCAACCAAGGGTCTAACAGAAACAGGACAGAGGGGATCTGAGAAGGGGCTGGCCCAGCCCGTCGTTCTTTCTCAGTACACCATGAGCTTGAATTGTTTCCTGGCCCTTCGGTCCTTTGCTGCAGCAGGGAACAGGCACTGTCAGTGTGCGGGTGTTCCCTGCACCACCCACCTCGAGCAAAACAAACCGCAGTGGCCCAGCATGCCCTTCTCAAACACCCCACCCACGCGTGAGCCTCCTCACCGAGGGACGCTGGGACGTGCCTTCACCGTGTCCAGCAATCTCAGAGGTTAACAAGGAGGCTGTCAACATAACGGCATCTTCCTGGCCACTCAGGTTTGTCTGTTATGCAATCACAACTAAAACCTAACCAGTCTCAGGCCAGAAGATGGCGCAGTGGCTATGCCGCTGGACTACCGAATAGCCCACTGTGGTCAAGTCCTGGACCTGGTGGCTTGACTATCATGCTGGGTGCATGTGTGTGCATGCCCACGATCCTGGGAGAAAAGGATTGTGGTGTGGCCATCTGTCCTCTCACTGCCTCTGTCTCTCTCCAGATAGCACATGTGCCCTAAGGCAAAAACCTCTTAAGAATTAAAAAAAAAAAAATCCTTAATTTTTAATTGCCAGAGAGTACGTGTGCTCATCAGAGAAACACAGAGAGATAGAGAAAAGGAGTGAGACCCCTTCCAATGGGGCATGTTCATACTGTGATCCCTCCTCCAACCCTCCACCTTGCTGGGACCTGGGGCACACGCACACATGCATGCACACAATGTGTTTTTTGTTCATTTGTTTGTAGAGGTATTTTTGCTGTAGGGCACATACACTCTCCAGAGAGACAAACACAGAGAGGCAGAAAGTGAGAATTCACCCCTCATGGGGATGGCCACTCTGCCATTCCTTCTCCTTCATTCTCCCTTGGGATCTTGGGCACATGTACACACATGCCTGGCGTGAGTTTTAAGCCGCCAGGTCGAGGACTCAAACCACCGTCAACTGTGTGGGAGTCCACTGGCGTAACCATTCAGCCACCTGCTGGTCCCAATACAACGTGTTTGTTAATTTGCTGGGGCTCGAATGTGAACCACAGTCAGCCATGTGGGGTCCAGTTTCCTTAACTACCTAAGGCTACCCTCAAGTCTTTATAAAAATCTTGCTAAAAGACATTGCAACAAAGAAATGTAAACTGTATAATAAGAATTATTTTAAAATATTTGCCTCATCATATTAATGAGACTTCGAAGTATTAATCTGTAACCCGAAGTTGGAGAAAGTGCGAGGTCAGGAGCCCCTGCCAAGCTGACACTCTAGGGGGCGCTGTCCTCACACGCCCAGAGCCTTACAGATGTGTGTTCTGGGTAAAGAAGAGCTGGACACACTGAGGTCTCTAGGAGCACTCCCACTCTCGGGAAGCCACGTGCGGTGAAAGACGAGGACGTGGAGAAGGCAAGCCCCGACGGCAGGAGTTCCCAGAGGAAAAGCCAAATGTGTTGTGATGCACAGGGAGGGGCTGCCCGGGTGGAAGGCCGAGTCCCAAGTGCCAGGGGAGGCCCGGCTGAACAAGCTCCCAGAGGTTGCTGCGCCCCCCTGCAAAGCAGAAGGACCCTGGGTGTGAAGGGAGCTAATGAGGCTGGAGGCAGGGTCAGGCCGGTCTCAGGTAAGAATTCAGAAAAAGTTGGGAAAATGCAAACTTCAAATAAAGAAAATGAGTGGCCAAGAGGGTCTCAACTAGGTGTTGCTCTGAAAAGACTCTGCTCCCTCCACTTCCTAGCTAAGCAGCAGTAGTCGGGTCGTTGGAGCTTTGGTGGGGACCGACACAGTAGCATGACCTGTGAGAAGGGATAGAGGTGGCAGCAGCCATGACGGACGCAGATGGGGCAGGGGCCTGAGCGCCATCTGCTCTTCCTGCACTGAGAAGAAAGCCATGCAGACTGGGGTCCACGTTCCACTTCCATGTCAGTCGGGACACTCAGTCATGTGCGTGGGAACAGGACAGGGTGGCCACACCCGTGCTTTCACCCACCAACAACTCCGCCCCGGAGGTCATGGCTTAACGTCCTCTGCCATTTCTGGGCCAGGTAACTGAGCCTAAGTGACACACACCCCGCCAGTGGTGATCTCTGACTCAGCATGTATTCGTGTTCAGTTCTGGGGACACACGTAAGCATGTAAGAACCTCATACTTGAAGAATTTACTCTCCTGCTGGGGAAACAGAAGAAAACATGGCCAATGTCAACCTCTGCAGCCCAGACTGAAGGCCTTGTGAGTGCGGCCAGGGCGGTGAGCCGGGCTGGCTCTGTGGTGTGGCTATGGCAGTGAGCAGGCCGGCTGGGCGGTGCGGCTCAACAAGCTGCTTTGGAGAAAGGGTCCCACATGGCAGCCATGGTCCAAACTCTTGGCCCAGCCAGTTTGAAATGGGCCAGGCACGAACCCAAGTGCCCTAAGACCTGACAGCAGAGTTTGCAATTCCCTCTCTGTACCTCAACTCCTCTGTCTGCCACTGGGTGCCCATGAAAGGATCAGGACGTGCTTTAACGGCACTCAGTACAGGCAGCACAGCTGTCCCTGTGCCCTAACGCGCAGGCAGGTGGTCACAACATCAGCCGGTTTCTCCCTTATTGCCAGAGCTCGGATGCTCCTCAGGTCAGGGGAGGAGTGCAGTCAGTTTTCCCTGGGACGGGCCAGGCAGCCGTCTCCACCCGCTGCCCAGACGGCGCTGTTGCACCACAGCTCACATCCCATGAGCACGTCAACCAGTGTGAAAGGCAGCTCCATCCAGCAAAGCTGCTTCCACAGGACCTGATTCAATTTTACATCATTTGCAAGTTACAAAACATTCTTTTGATTGCTTTTCAGTCATTAAAAAAGTAAAAACTGCATAGCTCACTGGTCCTACAGAAATAGGAAGCAGGCTTTGTCTGGCAGCTGCTGAAC